TGGCCAGGAGGGGGTATGTAATGTGGCTTGGAACTTGTGTAATGTGTAGAGGGATGTGAAATGTGTAGAGGAAAGTGCACTTTCTTGAAAAATGGTCTGCATTATATGACATCCTTACACTTTAATTTTCAGGACTGCACCTTAACCACTTAAGGACACATGACGGAAATATTCCGTCACGATTCCCTTTTATTCCAGAAGTTGTGTCCTTAAGGGGTTAATGTGTCAATATATTAGTTTGACAATTATTGTTTACAACTTGTCTTTGTTTACTGCTGCTTAATTTAATAATTATACTTATATTGCACTTACAATTTTAATAACAGTGACTAAAAGTTTTATTTTGATCACATTTTCAAATTTTTCTGTTTAAGGGGTTAATGAGAATGGGAGTTTTTAAATGGTGGCAGGTAATGGACAGTAGCAAGGGGTGGGTACCGTGAAGATATTATGCACAGGGCTCCTAAAAATCTAAGACTTCCAGACAGGGCCAGCCTGTCCATAAGGCGGCACAGACGGCTGCCAGAGCCAGGGGGCGCAAAAATCCTAATCCCTGGGGACTCTGATTTCTCAACTCACTTCGCTCTCCCTGCAGCCAGCACGGAGAAGGACCTGGGCAGTGAAGTCAGCCGGCCTCCTCCGATGATGTGAGAGGAGGGGGCGTGACTTTCACTGCTCCCAGACTCCTCAGCGGTCTTCAGTGGATCCCCTGCCTCCAGCGCCTGTCTGGCTCATCCCACCTGACCACCAGGGGTAAAATCCCACCCCCCCCCCAGCCCAAGGTAAGCCTCAGGGAGGGGGGGGAGAGATACATGTTAGATTTTTTTTTTTTGTATAATCAAAACATTTTTGCTTAGTTTTTTTATATTTTAAAACAACCCCTGCCTCCATTATACTGTCCCCCCTATGCAGCTCCTGCCTCCGTAATTCTGCCCCTGTCCTGCCCTGCCCTCTACAGCCCCTGTTCCCTCTCTAGAGTCTCTGTCCCCTGATCAACAGACCTTGCCTCCATTATACTGCCCTTGTCCCCACCATGCTGCCCATGTCCCCCTCAACAGCCCCTGCCTCCATTATACCCCCTTGCCCCCCCTCTACACCCCCTCTACAGACCCTGTCTCCATTATACTGCCCCTGTCCCCTGCCTCCATAATACAGCCCCTGTCCCCCCTCTACAGCCCCTGCTTCCATAATACTGCCCCCCTTCTACAGCCACTGCCTCCATAATACTGGCCTTACCCTCCCATCCACAGCCCCTGCCTCCACTATACTGCCCCTGTCCCTACCTCTACAGCCCCTGCCTCCATTATACTGCCCCTGTCCCCACCTCTACAGCCCCTGCCGTCATAATACTGCCCCTGTCCCCACCTCTACAGCCCCTGCCGTCATAATACTGCCCCTTTCCTGCCCTCTACAACCCCTGTTCCCCCTCTAGTCTCGGTCCTCCACTCTCCAGACCCTACCTCCATTATACTGCCCCTGTCCTCCCCTCTACAGCCCCTGCCTCCATTATACTGCCCATGTCCCCGCTATGCTGCCCCCGTCCCCCCTCCAGCCTCTGCCTCCATTATACTGCCCTTGTCCCCCCCGTCCCCTCTACAGCCCCTGCCTCCATTATACTGCCCTTGTGTCCCCCCCGTCCACTCTACAGCCCCTGCCTCCATTATACTGCCCTTGTGTCCCCCGTCCCTCTACAGCCCCTGCCTCCATTATATTGCCCTTGTCCCCCTGCCTCCATTATGCTCCTTGTCCCCCCCTCTACAGCCCCTGCCTCCATTATACTGCCCCTGTCCTCCCTCTACAGCCCATGCCTCCATTATACTGCCCTGTCCCCCCTCAACAGCCCCTGCCTCCATTATACTGCCCATGTCCCCCTATGCTGCCCCCGTCCCACCATGCTGCCCCTGCCCCCATACAGCCTCTGCCTCCATTATACCTCCTGCCCCCTCAGCCCCTGCTCCCGTGCCATGTCCCCTATGCCCGTCCCACCATGCTGCCCCTGTCCTCCACTCACAGCTCCCTGCCCCCATACAGCCTCTGCCTCCATTATACTGCCCCTACCATACTGCCCATGTCCCCACCTGCCCCCTCTACAGCCCCTGTCCCCACCTGCCTATAGCCCCTGCCCCCACCCCCACCATACTGTCCCTGTCCCCCCCTATACAAGCCCAGACCCCCTTTTACA